CTTTGAACAGCAAGAGGCTGACACACAGAGTCAGGAGTCCCTTCTGCACACGAACAGCCCCTTCCAAAATATCTGTTCCAGGCCAGACTATAGCCGAAGAAGAAGACTACATTTTTGTTGTCTATTTTTTGTCATTCCAACTAAATCTTCATTGACAGTCATCAGAGTATGCCTCAATTTTTGCTGGAAAATGTGAGATTATTACCATCATTTAAGCAGTGGGGTTTTTTCCCCCCAGGTATTTTGCTATTTTAAGTAACACTGTGATGAATATCCTTGTAATCAAAGTTTGGGGTATGAGCATTTTTGAGTTCTTCAATCATTTTGACAAACTGTTTACATAAGGATTATTCAAGCTTCCACTTCTACTGGTATGCCGTGAGAATGACAATTCCTATCTATTGCTGCCAGGTTTAGAAAATGCCAAGATAAATTTTAGTACTCAAAAATTCATATTTTTTTCAATTAGGAAATAAAAAATGAACCACACCAGAGGCTGATGTCTATTGGATTATGAGGAACTAAATCCCTTATTTATGACTTCAAGTACAATAAAAACTAAAAGAATGTCGCCCACCAGAACTCTGGTGGAGCTGAAAGGAATCGTGGATAATTACTGCACTAATTTACTACGCAGTGCCGATAACAGATGCTCTGAGAGGGCAGGGAGAGAGTTTGTTCTTGTAAGTAGGTTAGGCACGTCCCACACAGTCAGGATTAATCTCTTAATTTGCTTTTTCATGGATAATTCAAAAAGCAGCTCCAGTCCATGCCCTGTCGGAACAATTACAGAGTCTGGATTTATGGGGGCCGCATTGCCGGGCGCTGACCGCACGAAGCCACAGGTGCGGGACCCGTGACGTCAGAGGATGATCTCGCCGCGGCATCGGTGGAAACGGCACAAATGCGGCTCTTCTGGGCTCTTTTGGCCATTAACCCTGAGCCTCTGGGGGCTTCCAGGCCACATGCCCTTCTCCCTAATCCTCTCGACAAACGGTGTCTTCCTTTTCTTCTTCCACATCCCCCACGACTCCCAAGGGTGACACAGCCGGCCTCCGTGCCGGGGCTGGGAAAATGTGGCAACTGGAGCAGGTGGGGCCACCTGTGGTTGGCTCCAATTCCAGGCCCACAGCTGCCGCCCAGCTGCAGAGCCCCAAATCCCAAGGTTTTCTGAGGATTTTCCCACCATCTGGACTCAGGAATTCCCATGCCCAGAAGCGTCTCTGTGAGCCAGAGTGTCCCGTTACAAATGTTACCCGTGTCCTCAGAGGATTCGTTCACAGCCCCTTCTCTCCTGGAGACAGTTTAATCCTCTCCCACCCGGACCCCGCCCCCTCCGCCATTTGCCCCATCTGTCTCCCAGCGATGACCGTCCATCACAGGACGGGCTTCCGCCCGGCCCTCACCCGCGCCTGGTTCAAAAGGAGCTTGGAGCCTCTCCAGTAACACTGTCACCCCGTGCTACCCGCGGTTCTACTGCTCTAACAAAGGGAAGACGCGTTTCCAAGTTCTGAGAAAAGCCCTCTTCCCACCCCGAGGTGGCCCGGAACAACCCAGGCACCCAACGTGAGACGGGATTCGTGAGCGGCTCTCTTCCGAAAGAGACCCCAGAGGGCCAGCCGCCTTTTCTTGCCTTCTTTTCCTCACGTCCTCTGCATTTCTCTGCTCTTGGAGAAGCTGGCATGGCGTGATTAATTTATTCATTCGACAGACTTTCCAGAGCGCAAACTTGGTCCTGGGCTCTGGACAACCGGCAAGAACAGCCACAGTCAAGGCTCACACCCATCGAGTGTATTCAGTGTGTCTAGCACCGTGCCAGTGAATGCCCTGGACCCCGCAGGGAAGTTCGCCTTGCTATCTCCAGGTAACACAGCGATCAGAGCCCATCGAGGCCAATCCACGCGCTCAAACAACAAGCAAAACAAACTGTAAGCACCAAAGTCACAGAGCCCTCGCCCGGCAGCCGTCACAGCTTCCGGGAGAACGCCAGGGGCGGTGTGGGCACGCCACACACGGAGCTGGATGTCGGGAGAGATCATGCTAGCGAATGTGCATTTTGCATCATTGTCATTTGACATATGTCAAGGCGACATCGATTACACTGTACGGAAAAGACAGAATTTGGGTACAGCAGAGTCACATTTTCTGCTAGGGCTAAACATTTCCTTGAAATATGAAGCACAAATAAATGATAGATTCGCTGTTCGGCTGCGACACACACCAAGGTGTAAGTCCAATTCCCCCCTCTTTCTATAGCCACACCCTCTGTAACGGGATTTTGTGGCTCTTGTTAGCAAGAGGCAGAGTTTGTCCCCACGCCCCTGGAATCTGGGCTGCTTGCGACTCGCTTCGAACAACAGAGCACATGGGAGACCCGGCATGCGCCTCTTCTCCCTCTCTCGGGCCCCACCGTGGCCTGCGGGCGGACGAGCCACCCTGCAGACAGGTCCGGGCCACTCCCGCGAAGGCCACGCCGGGCCAGCCAGTGCCAAGTGGACCGCAGGCGCCCAAGCAAGCCCAGCCCAGCCTAGATGAGCAGGAACCTCTGATGGCCCATAGATGTGTCGGTAGAGAGTGCACATTAGTTTTTTAAGCCTCTAAATTTTAGTGAGATCTGCTGTAAAGCAACAGCTAACTGGCGCAAAGGCTAACAGAACTTCAGGCGTTTTCCTTTCTCCCTCAAGATCAGTCGTTTGACTTTAGGCAACACTTGGACCCACACACAGCTGTGGCGTAGGAGCCTTTCAAGTGCGTGCATTTGAGGGCTGAGGCGAACGGAATCCGTTGGCTCCAAAATATAAAACAAGACAAAGCAAAGCAAAGGAAAAACACAAACAACCTTGCAAAATAAAATTACTGAATGCTTCATCAACTGTCTTTAAAGCATAGCCATAGCGTCATGTCAACCAGTCAGCTGCAACTCTACTATTAACAGTGTGTAAACACATGGCTCGAGCACAACCTAACCCTTATAACCCCGGTGAATAATTTCTTCTTAAGATCCAACATTTTATAAACACGTTAAGAAAATTCTATATTATCTTTGTCACTTTTACTGAGCCAAATTCCACATAAATGTCCAAAGAGAAGTAAGAAGCCTTTCAGAACATTTTACAGCCCACCCCACCGAATAACTGCACTCTCGTGTATCCACATGCCTTGGCCCTGCCCTCCGAAGATGACCGTGCCCGGGGCCTGCAAAAGTCTCAAAACAGCTCCGGGAAAGCATGGCCATTTTTTCAGATGGAGAAACCGAGAACTGCGGGTTCTCCGGAGACAGTTAGTCTGACTCGAGGCGGACAAACATGCTGGCTCTGGCTGGGGCCAGTGGAAATGCCCCAGCAGGGCAGGTCCAGGAGAGGACACCTGCTTCCTCGGCCCCCGGGTTCTCGGGCCTGTTGGTTCACTTGACTTCTCGGCAGGGAAGGAGCCTGCAGCTGTCTCTGCACCGTGGTCCCGTGGTGGCTGCAGAGTGGCAAAGGGCCTGTCTCTGCACCCCCGCCGGCAGGAAACGCGGCGGCAGCAGCTCCGTCCTCCAGAGGGAGACTGATGGCCGGGACAAGTAATAAAAAAATATTTCGGAACCAGTATGCACAAGACAGACTATTTATGACCTTGACCTCCTCCTGCTCCTGCCCCTCTGGCTTTCTGACTGCTCCCCGATCATCAGGCCAGTTCCCTAGGCCCTCCGGCAGGTAGAACTGAAAAAAGAAGCTGAGAGCGGGAGACTCTGGTGTGGGACAGGGCAGGACGGGGCAGGTGAGGCTAAGAAGGTGAGGCTAAGAAGGCGTGGAGAGAAGGTGGGAGCAGCGGCAGGGAGATTTCAGCAAGTGCTGCTAATCTCCGCATCTCCCTTTGCAGCCAAGGGGAAATTCAAGTAAAAACTCCGGGCACCCTCTGGCCACCGAGCTGTGCCTCTTTGCCGCTGTACGCGGCAGCTGGCCCACGGGGTGGTGGCCTCCTGAGATGCATGCTGTGGAGCACAGAGCAGCAGGGCGGCGACCCAGACTGGGTGGGGATGGAACAGATGCCGGATGAATAGAGCGGAGGGGAAAGAACGTTCCAGACAGAGAAACAGTCTAAGTGAAGGTCGCGAGGTGGACAGGAATCCAGCAGCTGCACGGAGCCTTGCGTGGCTGCCGCCCGGAGCAGCTGGGCGGGGCGGGGCGGGGCACGGACCCCACCGCCCGGCAGGGATCCACGCTCACTTTGCCTTAAGAGTGCTCCGCAAACCGCAGGTTCTTCAGAACGGGCTTTCTTCTTTCTTAATGTTGACGATATGTACCAGGAGAAAAGGCAAACACCCTTAGAACTCACCCCACCTCGCTTCTAAGCTAGGGTCATGTTTGACACTGAGCAAGCAGGAAACGCTCCCTGGGTGGGGGCCCTGCGGCCTCGAGTGTGGCCCCTCACCCGAATCCAGAGGTCACAGAGCAAATCCCTTGATTGACAGGACTCGTCCTGTGAAGCTCGGATCACAGTCAAAAGGCCACAGTCAAAAGTCCAGAAGGCCACCTGGGGCCCCAGTGCCGCAGGTTCCCCTACAGGTCCACAGCCAGTGAGCGTGTGACATCATTACAGGGATGCCCAATAGGGTCACAACCCCATCCCGGTGGGTATCGGTCCCTTCTAACGGCAGGTTCCCCTTCCCCTAGAAGTGACCTATACCTCTAAGTAGGACTCCCTGAGCCCAAGTCCCAGGGTGAACCAATTAATTACTAGGAAACTATTTCCCCTGGTTTTTGATCCAAGCAACTAAGTGAATAAATACTTAAGATATTTAAGGTTGAACTTTGGAACTCCAGGTACTTTGGCCCTGGGTATGACCGGGATAGGGCTGTGACACTCTCTCGGGCATCCCCGTAATGATGTCACACGCCCTGCCCACTGCCTGTGGACTTGCAGTTGCGTTGTGATCTGGGAGGAGGCCGCCTCCTCCAACACCTTCAATAAAAGAACACGAGTTTTCCCGTTGAATTATCTCCTTTTCCTATACTCACATTAGGCTGTTTCTTGGGCCACAGGTCACGGAGAGAAATACAGGAAGATATCGATATCGTTGGGTCTTCTCCGGTGAGAAATGAGGGAGAGACAGGCGCTGGAAGCGTCCGCATCAGCCTGTCAAGGTGCAGGCTGGGAATGGATGGAAACCAGGGTTTATCTTAGAAGCAGCACTTAATTCCCCTAATTCAAGACAGGCACGATGTCCTAGTCAGGGTTTGTGGCTTACCAGGTGCCTGCAGCGGGCCCTTGCTGGGATTTGCTGTTTGTTCCGCACTTTCCCTTCCTCCTCTGGGAAAGGCATCCGAACTTCCCTTGGGCCTGACAGCAGGGTCCCAGAGCCCGGGCGACCCTCGCCCCACAACCGCCTAGCCCTGCGATTGGTCCAGGATGGACACGTGACCCAGGTTGGCCCAATCACAGTGGAGCCAGCACTTGCACAGGGGTGGATGGAGACAGGCTGCCCCTCTTCCCTCCTCCACTTGAGCCGGTGGTCACTGGATTCTCCCTAGCAAGGTAGGGGAGGGTGCCCAGCTCAGAGTTTTTATCCCATTCTATGAGCTGAAGGAACTGGAAGGACTCGGCCGAGGGGAAACTGTATTCTTTTTTTTTTTTTTTTTGAAATAAACTTTTTTTTTTATTTCGGCATATTATGGGGGTACAGATTTTAAGGTTTCAATAAATGCCCATTCCCCCCCTCCCCCCACAAGAGGAAACTGTATTCTTGCACGAGATCCAAGTGTAAAGTGCAGCCAGTCCTTGCGAGAAGTCCAGCCAGGGACAAAGTGTCACCAAGAAAGTCGCCCTTCCTTTTCGCCCTGGCTGCCGGCTGTCTTGCTCTCTTGCGGGTTGTAGCTCCGTTGCTTCTCCCTGTTCCACGTCCCGGCGGCCCAGTGGGTCGAGCCTTTCCAGGCGCCCAGCCCTAATCCAATCACATGTGGCCACAGCAGCGGCAGCCGATAATACAAACTTCGCCACAGACAGCCACCCTGGGGGTGGCAGGGGTTAAGTTTTTAGAAAATGGGCTTTACAAACACACCCCAAATGTCTGCTGCGCTTGGATATGGGCCTTGTCTTTTGCATGCTCAATGAGGAAAATATTCTCATCTTGGTGAAAAGATGCAAAAGTTAATTTTATGGGATGGGGACCTGGTGCTTCTGAAAATAGCTGCTGTCCTAGACAACCAAACGAATCAGTCCACTCTAAAAGAGGGGGTTCTCTCAATAGTGAGGAAAGAGAAATGAACCCATTCTGCTTGCAATAGCTCCTTCTGCCCACCCAAATGTTAGCAAAATTGCAAAAAGAAATCACCTGCAGGAACATGATGGGGCAGGGGAGAGTCTCACCCTTAGTGGCTCCCGCTCCTTTCTCTCGCAAGACTTCGCTACACCTGCTGTTTTGCATAATGTTCCTACACATGGAACCCCTTCATCTCACTTTCACCAGGAAGCACCTTCTGCTCTAGCCCATCACTCTTCCCTGTCTCCTGACTACCTGCGTCCACTCCTGCCTCCTTATTAGCTGCGTCACTTAGGGAAATTGCTGCATCTGTCTGAGCCTCAAGTAGGGGCTTTATCTACAGGTGGGGATAATAAGGAAACATTCCTCAAATCTGGCAATGTCTACGGAAAGTACAGCTGTATTCTCCCTTTAACACATCAATCTCACTTCTAGACATCTATCCTGCAGATAGACCTGTGCCTGTGTATGAGATGACAATTGTGGGGTTATTCATTGTAGTATTATTTGTCATAGCAAAATATTGGAAGAAATACCATTGTCCATTAACGGGTATCAGTTAAATAAACTATAGTATGTCCACCCAGTGGAAAACCATATGACTGTAAGATAAACGAGACTATGGTCTGTGCGCTGATACAGGAAAATCTCCTGGATATATTAAACAAAAGCAGCAAGTTACCAAAAAAGTTCAGTATAATAAAAAAATAAATGTTTGGTCTATTATCCCTGGTTCCTAGCAAAGAGCTCCTAAGACCCTTGGAATTTGCAGCCTTTTGTATGCTAATGAAATGGCTCACGGAGTGGTGACAGTCCGGGCTAAATATCTTCAGGATGAGGAATGTTCACCCCAAAAGACCACTTATTAGAGAGTTGGAACTTTCTGTCCTACCCCAGATGTCCGGGATTGAGTTCAATCTCTAATGGCTAAAGATTTAATCAGTCATGCCTTTGTAATGAAACCTTCCTAAAAAGCTTTAAACAACGGGGTTCAGGGAATTTCCATGTTGGTGAACACACTGACAAGATGGGAAGCTCTGTGCCCCCCCAATACCTCCACCCATGCGTCTGTTCCATGTGGCCATTCCCGAGTTAATGTTCTTTGTAGCAAAGCTGCAGTCACACACAGAGCACTTTCCTAAGTTCTGGCAGTCGTTCCAGTGAGTTATCAAACGTGGGGAGGGGTGGTTTATGGAACCCCCAAATTTGTAGTCAGCTAGGCAGACATGGGGGTCAGCTGGGGACCCCACTTGTGGCTGGTGTCTGAAGTGGAGGCAATCTTGTGGGACTGAGACCCTGACTTGTGAGATCTGATGCTAACTCCAGATGGTAAGGTCAGAACTGAGTTGAATTGTTGAACCCTCGTTTGATGTTGTAGAACCGGAGAATTGGTGTGGAAAAATAACATGTTTCTGGTGTCAAGGGGGGAAAAAAACTCACACATTTGGTGGCAGAGGCGGTCACAGGGAAAAAAACAATGTTATATGCTAACTTTTGCGTAAGAAAGAGAGGAAACGAGAAGTGTTCGTATTCGCTCATGTTGCCGTGTGGTGGGGAGACCGGACAGCGACTGGAAGGACAGCCGGCGCCGCAGTAGGGTGGGGTGAGTGGGGAAGGACCTCTCTACGCAGAGTTCTTGCATTTTCAACTTTTGAATCATCTAAGGGTTTTACTTGCTCAATGTTTGAATTAAAAATTCTTTCTTCATAAAATTTTTATGAGCCTTAATTCCACACCGTCACTTGCCATTAACTAATCACATGATAGGACAAGTGAGCATGCTGTGGGCAGGTGAGCCACGTTACTGGCTATGTGACCACGCGCTAATAACCCCTCTGGGCCTCAGTTTTCTTGATAATCTCTAAAGTGGGGACAAGAATAGTATCCACATCATGGAATTATACTGAGGGCTTAAAAAGAGGGCTCATACTTTGAATGAATGAGAGACTCAGTGTGTGTGTCGGACCCCTCACACACACCCTGTGCGAGGAGGGCTCCTAGGAACAGCTGTGGGTTGACTGACGGTCAGGAACAGAGTTTTGTGGGCAAACTCGCTGCCAGATAACCTAAAATAATCTCTTAATGACAGCCCATGATTTTCAATACTAACCTCACACTCAAAAATAGGGGAAAGAAAGAAAATATCAAAATATGCAGGCAATGGAGAAAATATGTATTTTGGTGGGTTTTTTTTTTTTTTTTTTGAGACACAGACTCTCTGTCTGTCACCCAGGCTAAAGTGCAGTGGCATCATCATAGCTCACTGCATCCTCAAACTCCTGGGCACAAGCAATCCTCCTGCCTCAGCCTCCCTAATAGCTGGTGTACACCACCATGTCTGGCTAATTTTTTCTATTTTTAGTAAAGACAGGGTCTTGTTCTTGCTCAGACTGGTCTGGAACTCCTGACCTCAAACAATCCTCCTGCCTCAGCCTCCCAGAGTGCTAAGATGCCACCTGCCTGGCGAGGTGTCATGAGCCACCTCGCCAGGCAGAAAAATATGTACTTTAAGTGAATTTCAAATAGACACTCCCCCAGAGAATAGCAGAGTAGCAATGTTGGAAGAGAAAGCTAAATCAGGGAGAAAAAAATCAGGGGCAGGGGAAATCTTTCAATTGAAAAGTTATACCAAGTGCTAACTGGTATAAAGTCAAGGGGAAAAAATCCCTGCCTAGACACTTCCTACTGAAACTGCAAAACATCAAGGATAAAAAGAAAAACATTCAAGCAACCAGAGAGAAAAGACAAATTACCTACAGAGGAAGAGTGATTAGTCTCAGAGAAGATTTCTAATGAGCAATGACTGATGTCACAAGAGAATGAAATAATATCCTCAAACAACTGAGGGGCTACTGCTGTCAACCTAAAATTCTATCTCCAGCAAAACTATCACTTACAAATTTCAACATAAAGATATTTGCAGATAGACAAAGACATAGAAGATTCACTACCTCCGGCAGGTGTTGGCAAACTAAAGCCCACTGGCCAACTGTGGCCCACGGACCGTGTTTGCAAATGAAGTTTAATGGGGCAGGGCTGTGCCTGCTCCTGGATATACTGTCTGTGGCTGTTTTCCAAGCACAAGGGCAAAGCAGTTGTGGCAGACGCTATATAGCCCACAAAGCCAAAAAATGTGTTTACTATTTCCAAAAATAGTAAAATATTTACTAGTAGTGAAATAGTATACTAGTAAAAAAATTAGTGGTAAAATATTTACTACTTGCAGAAAAGTGTGGCTAATCTCTGCTCCCTAGGGAAGCAACGTTTACACGTGTATTTATTCCTTCACTGTATATTTGGCAAACATCCACTTGCGTTTGTCAGACCCAACACACAGTGAGATAAAGGATGTCAAGTCCCTGGCCCTGGAAGATGAAGCCTTTTTTTGTGGGTCCAACTAGATGGCGGTCCCACTTTCCTGCGGGGATGTCGGGAGGAGCCTTAGTCTAGGCGTGTATCTAAAAACGGCAAAACAACCCGGACAAACCGGCTTGCCCATCAGTTCTCGTCCTTGCTGGGCAAGCTTGTGTGAGCCCTGCCCATCTCAGGCATGCCAGATGGTTCAAAGGTCACAGGGTTGGCTTGGGTTCCTCGTGTCACCACTGCAGTCACACATGCCTCATGGCTCCCAGCTTGCGCTCCCCATCGTCCCTCCCCCCACCTGCTACTGCTGAGGCCCTGTGGCTTTCCCCAGGCTCTGTGCCTGGCTGCTCTCCTCTCCAGGCCTCTGCCCAGGAGCGAAGCCCCTTCCCCCAGTGGTGCCTGGCTGACTCTTTCTCACCTACTCCAAGAAGGCTCCTCCCCAGCCCCAGATGGGGCCATTTCATCTCATTCTGTGCCGAAGTATAACACGTCTATGGAGTGCTTCATTCTGCAGGGCGGTGTGCTAGACGCTCATCGGTGTGTCGGATGGGTTTTCCCTCCACCTCCACCCCTGCTCTGGGGCTAGTGTTCATCCAAACCCAGGAGAGCTGCAGGGGACATTTGCTAGGCAGTTGAAAGTGGAGGACAAGGCAGAGACCCTTGGTTGTGAACACTCCTTCATGAGATAAGCAAAAAGGAGGCCCGTGACAAGGGCTGGGGCTCCCGCAGGTGGTGCGCCCCTACACACACGGCACTGAAGGCTGAGTCCGTACTGGGAGCCGGACGAGGTCCTGGTGGTTCTTGCCAATCACACAGGTAGACAGGAATTCATATAAGGCAGCTTCATTGGGCGGTCAGTCTGAACAGGGAGGGAGGAAGGGGAGGAAGAGGAGGGGAGGGAAGGGAAAGAGGGAGGCAGAGAGGGAAGGGGGCAAGTTCCTGTCCACTGACACCTTCCCCTGTCCTTTCTCTCTGCCGTGAATTCCTAGCACCCCTGTCTCTTCCACCTGTCACCCCACCCTTGTCACTTACCCAGTACCTCGTCCTGGAGCGGTGGGGGCAGTAAAGAGACACGGGTAGCACAAGTGGGGGTTGCATTCATTCATTCATTCTGGCCTCTGACGGTCACTAATTCCCACGCTTCCCTTGCACTAAATACTCTGAGAATTCCTACCAGCAAAGCAAAAAGAAAAGGTATATTCAGTGGCAGAAAGACCCAAGTGGATTTATAATGGTCTCAGTAACAGGTAACTTGATTTGCTTGGGCTTCGAAACACTTAAAATTCAAATATAAGTATTTGGGGGCTTGGAGAACATATGTCTTCCAGGGGGAAGAAAATTAACTATATCCTGACAAGTTCCATAAATCAAACTGCATTACGTTGACGTACATTCTAAATTCAAGGATGCACTTCCATGAGAAACTTTTAGATAAAAAAAAAAAAAAAGGATCTGGTGACTAGTTCAGGGCAAAGTTTGCAGACTTGAATCCTTGACTTCTCAATAAAGCCATGAGGTAGGCAGAGCCAGTATCACACCCATTTTACAAACGGGGAAACTGAGGCTGAGAGCGTTCAAGGCTGATCCCCCTAAAGGAGTTGGTGATGAAGCCAGGTCTCCAGACCCAGTGGCCCTTTCTGCTGGGCTTCACTGTCGGGCAACCCGGCTGGGGAATGGGACCATGCTCAGAAGGGCCCCTTGTGACTTAAGGCTCTGCTGTCACCATCTTGAAATTCTTACCCCTTTTGAGCCAGGGGCCCTGCAGTCTCTGTAGCAGGTCCTGCCCACGATTCTGTGGACCCAGATGCCAGCAAAGCCTGTCCCTGTCTGGGACTCAGAGCACCCGCGGTTCCTGGCACCCGCTGCTGCCCTCCGCCCGTGGCCTTGGCGGGTCCGGCAGGGCTCCCAGACCCCAGGCCCTGTGAGCGCCTCTGCAGCCCTGCGGGCGTTCCTCACCTCCTGCGGCACAAACGAGCACCCCACTCTCTCGGTGCCTCCAAGTCAAAACTCTCCACAGTGAGTTTAATTAAAACAAGAGAGGCCCTTGGTGTTCTCAGACCAGACAGGGGTCAAAGCTGCTCAGAACATTGCATTTCTCTGAGCTCTTCCGCTGGGTCTCTGTCTGGTTCCCTGCCTCCCAGGGTCACCGATTCTTGATTCAAAAGCAGGGGGTGCAGGGGGAGGGAGGGAGGGAAGAGAAAGAAAATGAGGAACACCCCACTCCTTCCTAACACCCCCAAGCCCCATAGAGGTCTTGTAAGTAGGTCTTGAAGTCTCAAAATGTGGCAGTTGTGGTCGCTTCTGGCTCCCAATTCTCGGGGACTCTGAGCCTCGACCCCAGTGCGCTCTGCCAGGTCCTGCAGCGGGGTCACCACCCTGCACTGTCGGGAACCGGGAAGGCGCAATGGGCCCCCGGGGAGGAACCAGCTCTCTCCCGCAATTTCTCTCTTCCCGACTGGCTTGAATGCTTCATCTTCTTGAGGTGGTCCCCAAACCCCAATCCGTCCTTAATACTCAGGCGCCCCCATCTCACACCGTGATTGACTTTAGATGGATTCTACTTCCCAGAACACACAACTCCCTCCTGTCCTCTCCCCAGGTCCAAGGAAAGTTGACGTGTAACCCACACCTATAACAACGGCAAGGAAAAACCCCACAAATCAGAGCAAACTTTGAGACTTTTATTATGCATTTGCCAGTTAGTATTTTCTGAGCACTGGCACAGTCGATGAATGTCTCTCCGACAGGCCACCTTGCCGCAGTGCCGAACAGCACACGTGCATCTCAGAAAGGTGATCCAAGCGCTAAGAAATACGAGGGTGGATCGAGAACGCAGTTTAAAACCTGTCTATCTATATATACACAGTGACTTTCCCTTGAGCCAATCCACATAAAGGAGTCGAAGCAGAGATTAGTTTCATAATAAATAATCGCTTCTCTAAATGTACAAACTCCTGCCAGCAAATCCGTCGCTCTCGTTTCCTCTTGATGGATACTCACTTTTGCACTTGCAATAATTTATGAAATACTCATAGAGAATTTAACACTCGGTCAAGGCCAACATTCCGCCGTACACGGTCTTCAACTTCTCCGTGCGGTGCCTGGGCACGCCGGCCCCTCTCTGCGGCCAGGTGGGGGGGGGGCGGGCAGCTGCGCCCCCACACAGGCGACCTTCCACGGCAGAGTCACATGTCCACACGCCAGGCAGGAAGAGCGCAGCTGAAAGAGATTTTGAACTGTCAGGCGTTACAATTCCCAGTTGTTGCCAATTATATAGATAAATAGGAATTTACATAATTTACAAAGAATTTGTGTTCGTGGCTCATTTTGCAGCCATTCCCCAAAGATCCACATTTATTCATGAGAGCAAATATTCAACCTAATAGCCTTGAGCTGGGGCTGCCTGTACAGCCGGCTCCTGCGAACGAGGCCTCAGAACGCCAGAGTGCACAGGCCAGGTGTCTACAGAGGACACGAAAGGTCAAGTTTCCAAGAACGAGCTCTGCGTTGCATGCACGCCCCGGAGTTCAAAGCCAGCAGATATTAACTGTCTCTTTTTCTTGTCACAAACATCAAGGTTTCTTTTTTTCTTTTTCTTCTTCCTTTATTTATTTATTTGAGATACATTCTTTTGGTGGGTACAAAGCACAGCTGAAAATTTCTCTGCCTAAATCCTACAAGCTTCAAACTCATAAACTGCACAGCTAGGACCCCTGTCTGAAGCGGGCGCCTCGCAGCCCCACCAACCCGCACCGCGCGCCTATCCCGGTCGGGACCGGGAGGCCGGCGTGCTCCTGCCACACGGGCATTTTGCTCCTGTCACAAGACGGACGCGTGTTTACATTTGCAAAGAGTTAGCTTGGAGTCCACTTATTCTGTAAGAGAAGTCACGTCAAAAGCCAGTAAGCGGCTTTCCAACTTGCCATGCCTCTCCAAAAACCATTTTCTGCGTGTAACCGGAGCCGTGGGCATCATGCCCCAGGGCACACCTGGGACCATTTTACCCATCAGGGAAACTGGGGGCATTTGGATTTGGACATGCTTGGAGTAGGGGGGTATTGTTAAATGGAGACTCTATGGGTGGGTTTTCTGCCCCAGGCAAATTCACTCCTTGTCCCAAAAGAGGTGGACATTTGGACTGTGTACAAGCAATCCCTGAAGCCTCCCGAGAACAGGATGCTGCAGGCCGGTTCTCCGACGGGGCTCCTTCCAGAAAGGCAGCTGGGCGGGCAGGTGAGCGACAGTGACGTCCACTGCTGGGCATGAGCTTTGGATGGTGCAGGTCTAAAGCCTACTTGCTTGGTCTGTCCTTGACTTCACCCTGGCTCGCAGTGAGGGGGCAAAAGAGAACAACAGGCACGTGAGGAAAGAACAGCCCTACACAGAGGGAAAAGGGGACCTCTTCCTGCCGCTTCTCTGCCCGTTCCTTGACTGGCACAGTACCCTCCCCCGGTGCTTCCCGGCAATTCCAGAGCCTACCCTCTGACTGGGAGGGTGTGGAAAGGGTGGCACCTCCCGAGGCCGGGCCCCATCTCTGGTTCTCACAAGCAAAGGCTGGAGGCAGCTTCCTCTCTGAGGATGTGAATCCGAGAATTACTAACTGGAATCTTGCAAGAGAGCAAGGACCTTGGCTTCATAAAAGACGTTTCCCTCCCAAGCACAGCTTCTTAGAAGAGCCTCACATGAATCGTAGAGGCCTGGAAGAACCACCTCTCCAGGCCCCGGGGGGAACCTGTGCCACTGATTTCGTCTTTGGGACATCTGTATGCTTTTCTCATGCAGGGCTCTCTGGCCGGCTGTTAGCCAAACACACCTCCCCAGGGCCTTTGCACACACTGTTTCCCCTGCCGGAACCCCCCTGCCCCCTATGGATCACCCCTCCTTCCCTCCCTTGAGGTCGCCTGGCTGGTGAGACTGCCCCCGGACCCTCAACACCAAACTGCAGCTGCCCCACACCTCCCACCCCTGCCGGGCTTTCCTGCTCCCCTCTGCACCCTCACCACATTTTGCATACTTGTTTGCTGCCTGCTGCCCCCACTATTTAAGCTCTGGAAGGCAGACCCTTTGTCTTGTCCCCTGCCATGTCCCCAGCGTCTACAACAGTGCCCAGCAGGTAGCAGGTGTGCCGCAAATCTTCACTGAATGAATGCATAAGTGAGTGAACAAATGGCGCAATGGATGGATGGGTTTAATCACATCCCGTCCTTGCTGAGAGGAGTTTTAGTTTGGGGTGAGGAAGACAGAAAGAGGAAAAAGTATAAAGAGGCGAAGTGGGGACCAGCTGGGGTCTGACTCATGCTCTCCAGGGATCTCTCTCCGCCGTCCCGGCCCACGTCCTCCCCCTCCACTTTCATTACGGATGCTGACAGATCCCTCTCCGGACGACTGGGAGCGATCTGCCACCAATTTGGAAAGCCTCCTGTCTGCCTCGCATGGTTTAATCTTCCCTTGATCAGTCCCTGTAGGGACCAAGCCACCTCCAGGCTGTTATTATGAACATAAATCACCATGCCATTGCAGATGCGCAGGTGAGTCATTAATAACGATTTCTGATTGATAGAATGACAAATAAACCCAGTCTGGCTGCAGGAAGCCATCAGGATGTCTCACCCAAAAAAGACAAGTGGCTTAAAAAAATAATAATAAAAGGAGTTGGGGAACTTGGGGGAGCCTGCTGCCGAGCCATTGTCATTCCCCTCTGTCCAGAATCAGCCACTGAAAAGAAATGATTTTGGGGGTAAGGACCACATGTTGCTACGGAAGCAGAGGCAGAACGTGGGCCTGGGTAGACCAGCCTTCGGGAATGCTGCGGCCAGCAGCCTTGTCCAGGCCCAGTGAAGCCCAGGCCGGGGCTCTGGGGGGTGTGCTAGGGCCAGCTCCTAGGACATGGGCGGGCTGGCTGGGGCCAAGGAAGTGGCAATGGCTGTGCACAGCTTCAGCCTGCTCTGGCCCCAGAGATGGACGACCAAAACGCACCGTCGCCTGCGGGTGTAGTGGCCCCAACCAGGCAGATGCCACCCCCGCAAGATACCCTAACCCCTGGAGGAACGATGCGTCACATCTTCCCTCCTCTGTCTCGGGCCTCTGGTGGCACCTCTCGCCTTCTCTTCCTCTTCTTTGTCTGGTCTCTCTGCTGTCCTCGAATGGCTGTGGGGAGACAGTTGGTTTTAATGAATCAACCTGCATTTCCATGTGGCTGGTTCTTCAGTGTCAAATTATGACTTCCTCTTCCCCACCAATGAGCACATTAGCGCATTCCCCACGGACCCCCGTCTCGAGCTCGGTTCCCGAAGGCTGACGCTCGGTGGGTGGATGTCTACCAAAGTACAGCGTCTACTCAGTTACTCATCGGATGTTAAGAAGCCCACAAGGAGGAAAGAAAAGGCAGTTAACACTGGGTTTTGCAGACAGCGAGTTCTGGGATGCTGACTGCTGCGCGCCTGCCTGTTCAGAGTTCTGTTTATGCTCCTCTTGTTTGCCTCAGGGGCCGGTCGCCCCCCACCAACGCCTGCCCCGAGAAAGGTTTTCAAAGAAAGGTTTTAAAACTCAGCCTGGCTGGGTTGATGAGTTTTGGCCCAAAGTTAGGAAAAAGAGGAGTGAGGAATACCTGTTAAGTGAATACCAGATTCAACAGCCCCCCGGGGCCTATCTGGGGTCTGCTCGTTCATTCCATTAGACACGATTTACAAGCTTCTCGAAAGCAGCTGAGCAGAGAGCAGGGTCCCAAACTCAGGGCCTCCGGGAGCCACGAAGTGGGATAAATGAGCAACACAGGTGAATGGGCATCACATGCCTCACTCGAACGTGAGTGGACCCCACCCAGTTCCAGCCTGTAGTGGCCGGGGGGAGGGCACTGAGACCAGAAGGTCCCATGCGCTGTTTTTGAAGAAGCTAAAAATACGCATTTGGCGAGGGGTTAATTATTTAATCTTTAAATTGTTGGCAACTTATTCATATTTTCGCAAAGTTCTGTGCAGGCCAGAAGAAACGTGTCTGCAGCCAGACACAGCCGTGGCCCTGGTGTGGCCTCTGTCTGAAAGGCGGCGAGGGGGTGGGGCCACTGCGCCACCTGCCCTCCTGGAGTGGGTGACCCGGAGCTTCTCTGGGCTCAGAGCCTCCTTTCCCTGGCCCGGAGGACCCCGGCGGCCAGGACACGGCTGATCCGTCCTGCAGCCTCCTTCGGGAAGCCCCCGGGTTGGCCTCGCCCCGAGGTGGGGTAGGGTGGTTAGTGTGTCTGCTAATGAGTGGAACTGGAGGTGTCGTACCTGCTGATGTCCAGGGTTTGGCTGCAGAAGTGTACGCAGGCCTTGTCATCTCTCCCCACACAAGCACAGCGCAGGGGCGTCTGCTTCGACGGCTGCCAGCTCCCCCACAACGGCCCCACGGACCTTTTGCCCCGGAAGCTTCCTCTGTAGTTGGACAGTCCATAGGGCACGGTCTGTCTGCAAAGCACAGAGTGCTGTCAGGTGAGCACGCACAGGGCCCGGGCCAGCCCCACAGGGGGGGCTGGACAGGCCTCTGGAACGGTGTCCACCTGCTCCCATGAAGCTCTGGGTCTTAGGAAGGCTCTGCAGTGAACTGTGCAGCCCCTGCAACCCCTACTCCCCAGGAATCGGGCTGGGGCTGGGGGCATGGAAGGACACGGAACACCTGGGGTCACCGGTCGATGGGCAGCAGCCAGCCCTCCCGGGATCCGAGCAGACGCCGGGGCGTGCGTGCACGCGCACTCGAGGTCCTCAGCCTCACCCCTGCGCTGACCCCACCTGTGCACAGGTGTGAGGTGCCCGTCTTTCCAAACCCAACCAGGGCCAGGCCTGGCTTCCTCCAGGGGCAGGGTTTGCTCCTCAGCGCTGAAGGCAACGCTGCACCTCCATCTACCCCCGAGAAAAGCCAAGAAGTACTTCAAAACAACGGGAGCACCTGCCCAGGTGTTTCTTCCTGTGGCAAGAACTTCTGCGCTGGCCCCATGCTGGCCCGGTCTGTGTCCTCCCGGACCACCCACCACACCCGGCATTCTGAGGCCGTCCCGGCCCCTCCGCCTCCAACTGGGATTCCTCAGTGCGCACAGCAGGCCTTGCAGCTCATGCCATGAGAGCACGGCAAATGCAATCGCTGTCATCAGAGAGGCGTCCTGGCCTCTCTTGGCCCCTGAAAGATGCTTCTTGGAGGAGACAAACGTCGGAAGTGACCCTCTGCGCCCTCTGAGAGCCATCGCCACTGCCCCGGCGATGCAGCTGAGGGCCCGGCGGGCCCTGGGGAAAGTCTTGTTATGAAGAAAAAGCCTGAGACTGTTTTCCAATTTCGTCTGCGGCTGGCGCTGAGGGAAGGGTGACGGTGCGTTCAGAGCGCGGCACATGAAAGCTGGTTCTTAGGCTTCGGCGCGCCCGAACCTCGCTCCCCGGGGAGGGGAGGAGCCTGCCAGGCAGCTCAGTGGGAAAAAGTTAAAAACAGATGTTTAATTCGTTAATTTTACTTAACATGATTCGAGGGACAAATTACTAATAACTAGCGGAAACTTACGTGGGCAAAGCTATTTTTCCAAGAAGTCTTGGTTTTCCTGTGAGTCCCCAAAGATTAACCACCTTGGTTTCTACGAACCCCATGGAATATCACCAATTATCCACCTCAAAAGGCGTCTGACATCCTTTCTATGTTTTTAAAATAAAATAAAATTGAATTTCTTTTCATTTGAAACACATGCCGTGAAGCTTTTTTGAGGTGGTCAGGGTGAATTGGGCGGGACGCCCCGCAGTGACCAGAGGCTGTGAGCAAGCCTTCCCCCTGCTGGGTTGGAGACAGACAGCTGAAGACCCGCCCCAACCCGTCTTCTCCTCTGCTCCCCTCGTCCGTCCTCCCCAGCCAGGCTCCCGAGAATCAGCGCAGCCGTGGCTTCCCTCTGGATGGAGGCGGGCACAGCTGTTGAGCGGCCTATATCTTAAGTGGGCAAAGAAAGCGGGGTCCAGTCCTGCTCTGAGCTGAGCCTCTGCTCAGCCCCTGTTGACCCCAGGGAGGGAAATGGTCGGGTGTGGGGAGGGAGCAAGACAACGCACACATGGTTGTGAGGCAGGATTTGGCTAAAGGTGTATTTTTCCAGTAACAGGGCCACATTAAATCTCTAAGTGTTGACATTAAATCCAGTCCCCCATTTCTTGGTGAAAATTACATACAAGGAATAACAACGCTCCCATTTTTCCATCAACAGCGAGACCTGCAATTTTGAAATTGCTGTCAGCTGATTATGCCTCTGCGCGTGTAGAGCCACTCAACTTGAGCAAAAACACTCTAAAGTGTTTTAAGTAAGGAAGCAAGGCAACTTGGTATTTGTTAATAGAGACATGCTTAGCACTTTCCCAGCAGCCAGGCGCAAAGTGCTAGTATGCAAATGAGCCCTGGCAATTTCAAAGAATGTTTACAGAGATGCATAACTGAGACTAGAGACCTCCTCACCGAGCCCTAGGCCTTTAACGTGTGCACTGTGCTGGCTGGCTGGGGTTCGGAGGATTACCCAGAGCTCAGGGTCATGCTACAGATGAGCTACCTACCCAAATATCTAAGACAACAGTTCAAAATGGAGGTCCACCTCCCGTAGGTCTGAAAAATTTAAAGGTTTAAATCAATCTGATAATCTCTTAAAAGAGTTCTATCCCCCTACCTGGACAAACGTGGCTTTGAGACAACTTTGAAACCCAAGCTTCAATTTAGAATTCTAGGGCTCCTTGGGGTTCCATATTGGAATGTGGTAGCCCAGGGAGGTTCAGTCCCTTCTCTTCCACCCTGCACCAGCCCATACCAAGGAGGCCTCATCCACTCCCATTAGATGCCCAGGCTGCACCCCCAAGCTCCTTCCATCCCCAACCCTGCAAGCAGCTCCCAGCTTTCAGGCCTAGGGATATGTACCTGGAGCCTTGCTTTGTCCCTAAGTCCAAACCCTGTAAGACACCGCACATGCCTGGAAGTGGGCTTGGGGACATTTAAGTAGGGGACTCCAGGACCCTGAACACCTACAGTGCAGTCTAGAGGATGACATATATGGCTTTTAGTCCCACAGGCTCCTTACAATGGGGTGGGGGATATGGCCAGAGGAGGGGTGGTGGCCCGGGGTGGAGGTGCCTCTTACTTAGCTCTAAGAGCAGACGCCAGCTCCTTAAGGGTAGAAGGTGGGGTTTTGCTTCTTTTTCACCTGCCATGGACCTAGCACAAGGCTTGGCAAATGGACTATTGATCAAGCAATTGGCAGTCAATCATGAGATCATTTTAGTGCAGCAAGACTGGATTCTTTCCACCCTAAAGAGTTCAATAACCACAAAAATCATAACAAAGACTCTCTAGCATTTGTTAAGCATCTACTGTATACTCAGTATCAATTTAAGTGTGATGGTGATACTAAAAGGCATATGTGTGTCCATGCCTTCCAGAGCTTATGTGCTATTGGAATATAAAAACAGATAAAGAAAAAAAACAGATAAAGGAAGAATGACAAGGCAATACATGCAGGTATGTGCAAGTACACAGAGCACAGAGAGAGAGTACCTGGTAATGCTATGATCACACTGTAAAGCACTATATGATACTCACTCTGCCCTCCCAACAGTTTCCTATTTGACAAAAGGGTTGTTGGATAAATCAAATGAGACAGTGCATGGAAAATAGTTAGCAAAGAGTCAGCAATAAACGAATGGTAGCTACCACTGTTATATATGTGGTCTGTAAAGTCAAGGGAGTATGTCAGGCAGGAAAGTCCATCTACCAGGCCTGCACTTGAGATACATGACTAAGCAATAACAACAGGAAATAAGGAAGCATAAGACACCGCCATGCATCCTTTGTGATGCCTCCTTTTGGCAGGTCCATAATTCAGCACTGCCCATCTAACAAGCACTTGTATTTCAGTTGTGCTGTGCTTTGTCACTGGCTGTTTCCTGAATGGTGTACGGGAAAGATCCAATGGTGGAACTGGGAAAATGAAGCTAAGTTGACTGGGAGCCTTCGGCCAGCAGGCTCTACCCAGTTTTTTTAGCCTACTATTCTACAGTAGGGTTTAGAAAATGAAATTCTTTATAAAAGTAGGCAGCTCTTCCATCTGTGAATGTTTCAGGTATAACACAGAGCTCCACACAAAAGAGAAGGAGATGGGATTAATCCAGACCCTCTTAGAAAAAACAAAATGCCCTCCTGCACAGCTACATATGCAACGTCTAGTGCTGTGTGTGTCTGCATAGTAAGTTGTCCCCCAACTTATGTATTCAGAACATTCATTATTTGATTGCTGTGGTGATAGCAGAATCTTATTTACCACAGTGTTTCTTATTTTTCACATTTCCCAAATGTCATATATAAATATTATTAAATATTAAACTCCCAAATCTCCTATATTCATTCTTCACCTGCAGCATCACCTGAAAGCACTTTATTTCTCTGTATAAGTAGTTTTTAGATAAGGAAATCTGGCTTTTAAAAAAAAATCTGTTTTTAATTTCTGTGTTGCCTTTTCATAAATGAATTAACAATCTCCATCTTTCTGATCAGGAAACTGGCTTCTACACCTGAAGTTTAAAGAACAGATACAGATATTCACAAAGGCCAGCCGGGAAAGAGCAAAAGGAACTTCACTAACCAAATTAAAAAGTTCTCAGGAAAGTTTATCAAGCTGTCATCTCCTATCAAAAACCCAGTTTTCAATTTTGCCCCCTTTGAATAGCATGCAACAAATATTTGCTCGATGCTTTTCAACATACAAGCAATGGACTGGACTGTGGGTGAACGTCATGAACGAGGCAGACAAGGGACCACCCACACAAAGTCTTAATCTAGTACAGAGGTCAGCAAATTGGCATTTTTGTCAGGTTTGTCCACTCAATGAAATTTTTTATTAAATCTGGAAATTTCATATAAACATCCGAATTCCCAGCCTCTCTTGAATAACCAGAAGTTGTGCTAACAGCAGCCCCACATTCCAATGAGCAGTGACGTCAGAAAGCAGGCATAAGCACTCCACTTTGCCCCAGTCCCCACCACACCCAATAGCCTTGCACCTCTCCTTCCCTAGCATGTTTGTTACATGTCTGGCTCTCATGAGCATCTGAGCTTACAACTCTGGATCTAGTTAGTGACTTGCACCACAAAGCAAAGCCAGACAGGTCATGTGACACATTAGCAAAATTAGCACCTGATACTATTTTTCTCCTTATAAATTTAATTGTTATTGTAATTTTAAAAACCCAAGTTCTGGCTGGGCATCTTCCCAACGAATAGAACATGTTGACTTCACACTTAGAATACATGTCAAGTTGATGATCTATTTACTTCCCTGGCTGACAGTTTTCCTTCTGAAATGGGAAAGAATAGGCAATATTGCCTTCGGGCCCAAGAGACGCATTGTACAGAAGGCGAGGCTGTGTTGACTGGTCCTGTGACCGCGGGGAGGAGAAACAACTGTTTCCCG